GGAGTGCCCTCAGCCCAACCTGCACCCTCTCACAGTCCAGGGCCTCTCAGAGGATGTCCATCTGCCTGTTTAGGCCCACTCCCTGCAGGGATTGGACCTAAACAGACAGTCAGACATCCTTCTCATAGTTCAGGACCCCTTGCTCCTTACTTCCCGCATGCTCACTGCTCCTTACGGCTCAGCTTGCTGCTCCTTAGTGCTGCTGTGGAGGTGAGAGAGGCTCCCACCACCGCTGCTGCATTTGCTGGCTTTGAATCCAGCTTCTGGCTGACCACTAGGGAGCAGCTCCTGCATTGAGCATCTGCCCCCTGATGATCAGTGTGCATTATAGTGACCAGTTGTTCTGGTCATTCTGCTGTAATGGTCGTTTAGGCTTTTATTATATAGATATAGATATAGGTATAGGTATAGGTATAGGTATAGGTATAGGTATAGATATAGGTATAGATATAGATATAGATATAGATATAGATATAGATATAGATAGATATATAAAAAGAACTGAGATGGAAATTATCAAAAGTTGAAAGGATGTTTGAAATCGTAGGAAGACTGATGAGAATATCCTTTGACTTTCATGTCAGTTATTGACCACACACACTCGGCTCTGCTGCAGAGCTGCTTCCCAGCTCCAGGGACTTGCTGAGCTCTCCCTTGTTGATATCAACGTCCTCATGAAACATGGTGTTGGGATGATGATGGGCTGGTTGTGCATTTTCTGAGACAGAGCGATGGCTCAAGGACGGTGCGCACAGTGTGGAAGTGGCACCGGAACTTGGGCATAAGCATGTTCCTGAGGAAGGAACAGTTCTGCATTCACTCAGGTCTGCATGGGGACCTGACAACGCCACATCATGTGCTGGCTGATTGGGTCGTTTTCCTTCCTATGCTTCAGTCTCTTTATTTGTAAGAGGGAGGGTTCAGTGGACACTTGTAAGGATATTGTAAGGATGTGCTAACACTTAAACGGGTGCTTCCTGTGCACCAGGCACCATGCTAAATGCCTCCCATGTTAACTCAGTCCTCAGGGCATGCTGCAGGACAGGAAGCAGTAGGTGAGGCACAGTCCGTGTTGGGAACCGAAGGCCTCCAGCACACGCAGCACACGCAGCACACGTAGTCTCGTCTTTTCTGTCCTCTGCCAGATTCCTTAGGAGCCACGGAAGTTGACAAGACCTACCCTCCTATGGGGCAGTTGACTTGGGATGTTCCAACACAACGTTGACTGGGAAGGCACTTTGTGATGCACACCGCGCCATACGGCATGGTGGGGCCTGATGGCGCCCTCCCTCACCAGGCTGCTGCCAGGGGCCCTCCCTCCCATGGCCCCAACAATAAGGCAGAGCTTCCCATGAAAGGCGTCATCCCATCTTCATGTCCCTGGTCTCAGCTGCCATCTCAGCATCCTATTCCCATCTTAAAACCTAACTCTGAGTGACTCTGTTAAGCAGGACATTTGCAACCCAGCTGCGGGAGGGTTGGTACCAGAACAAGAGAGAACATAAAGGATATACCTTAGGAGACCAAGATGGTGGCACAGGTAAACACCTAACTGCAGCCTCACACAACAATTTCAAAAAAATACAATTAAATACAAAATGGACATTATCCAGAACTACTGGAAAGTTGACTGACTGGAAATTCTACAACTAGAAGGAAAGAGAAAACCAGAAAGAAAATCAGAGGAGCTGAAAAAGCCTAAGGTACAGAGACACGGTGTGCACGTGGGAAGAGGATGGAGTTGGAGAGGAGGGGGTGATATAATACCTTATAAAAAATTTTTTTTAATAAAATAAAATAAAAAAAGAGAGGAGGGGGAGCTGAGTGCCTGGCTGGCGTTCCCTAGCGGGAAGGAGATAAAAGCTCTGGATTGTGTTGAATCCCAGTTCCGACTGCACTGAACCCCAGTTCTGCGCAAGACCCTGGGGACCCAGGCTCATACAGAGGGATTCTAGGCTATAAGGCGAAAACTCAGAGGAGCAGGAAAAGGCAGAGCCCTGGAGGCACACACATTTATACGCTCAGAGGACAGACTGTTGACTGTGCTGCTGGATTGCCCTAGCGGGAAGGAAACAAAAGCTTCGGACTATGCTGAGCTCCTGTTCTGACTGCACTGAATCCCAGTTCTAGACCAGACCCTGGGGACCCAGGCTCATATGGAGAGAATCTGGGCTGTAAGGCAGAAACTCAGGGGAGCGGCGAAAGGCAGAGCCTTGGAGTCATGCACATTGTGCGCAGAGGACTGACTGTTGACTGTGCCGCTGAATTGCCCTAGCGGGAAGGAGACAAAAGCTCTGGACTGCTCTGAACTCCACTTCCAGCCCCACTTCCAACTGCACTGAACCCCAGTTCCAGGCTCATTGGAGGAGAGACTAGTCTGCCTGGTAGTGGGCGAAACTCGAGGGCACCTATCTCTCAGAGGTGCTTGCAGCGAGTACCAAAGCAGCTAATACCAAAGGACACTGAAGAACACTGATACTCAGAAACCTCATAGGGCGGGGCAGACAGGAAGCCAAGGCTATAGGCTCCACCCTAAAACTCCGCCCATCCAAGCTGAGCACAGAGGCTTTTGCAATTTTCCAAGTCTAGTCGAATAAGGCTGTCTCCCGGCATAGACATAGCTGATCCTCACAACCAATTGGCCTGGAGGTCAATTCCTCCCAGTGACACCAACAGCAATCTAGACTTAACTACAATAAGGCTGCACACACAGTCCACAAAGGGGTGCACCAAGAATGTCCACCTCAAGTAACTGGGAGGCTGACCCACTGAACCATATAGGATACCTTAGTATACAAAGCCATCCTACCAACTCAGGGAAGCAGTGAAAACGCCGAGACAAGAAACAGATCACAAACAAAAGAAATGGAGGATAAGAAGCAACTGGATATAGAGTTCAAAACCACGCTTATAAGGTTTTTCAAGAATTTCCTAGAAAAGGCCGATAAAATAAATGAGACCTATGAGGATATGAAAAGGGATCAACTAGAAATAAAGAACACATGGTCTGAAATAAAAAATATTATACAGAATCCTAAAAACAGAATGGAAGATTGCAAGAATCAAGTCAAAGATTTGGAACATAAAGAGCCAGAAGACACTCGTCCGCAGAAGAAAGAAGACAAGAGAATCAAGAAAGTTAAAGTTAATGTAAGAAAACTCTGGGACAATTTCAAGCGAACCAACATTAGAATTATGGGGGTCCCAGAAGAAGAGAGAGGAAGATACAGAAAACATACTGGAAGAAATAGTGAAAGAAAACTTCCCCCACCTGGTGAAAGAATTAGACCGACAAGTTCAGGAAGCGCACAGAACCCCAAACAAAAGGAATCCAAAGAGGGCCCCACCAAGACACATCATAATTAAAATTCCAAGAGCAAAAGACAAAGAGAGAATATTAAAAGCAGCAAGAGAAAAGCAGATAGTTACCTATAAAGGAACACCTATATGATTTCTCAACAGAAACCATGCAGGCCAGATGGGAATGGCAAGAAATATTCAAGGTGATGAATAGCAAGAACCTATAGCTTAAAATACTCTACCCCGCAAAGCTATCACTCAGAATCGAAGGCCAGATAAAGAGTTTCCCAAATAAAAAAAGGCTAAAGGAGTTAATCACTGCCAAACCAGAATTATATGAATTACTGAAGGGGGTTCTTTAGAAAGAAGAAGAAAATAAAGATAAAAATTATGAACAACAGCCGAAACCGGTTTGACTCAGCGGTAGAGCGTCGATCTGCAGACTGAAAGGTCCCGGGTTCGATTCTGGTCAAGGGCATGTACGTTAGTTTCGGGCACATCCCGGGTAGGGAATGTGCAAGAGGCAGTTGGTCGATGTTTCTCTCTCATCGGCTTTTCTAGCTCTCTATCTCTCTCCCTTCCTCTCTGTAAAAAAATCAATAAAATATATTTTAAAAAATTATGAATAACAAATATGTAACTATCAACAAGTGAATCTAAAAATTAAGGGAATTAAAAAGCCTGATGAACAATATTAACTGGTGAATATAATAGGATCAGAGGTATGGAAGGGGAGTGAACTGACGATTCTCGGGGAAAAGGGGAGTGGGGGTGCGGGAAGAGACTGAACATAAACTGTGCACCTATGGATGAGGTCAATGGGGGTGTGGAAAGGGCAGAGGGTGGGGTGGGAACCTGGTGGAGGTGAGCAATGGAGGGGGAAAAATGAGGAACATTTGTAATAATCTGAACAATAAAGATTTATTTAAAATTAAAAAAAAATAACAGGGAAAAAAAAGAATATACCTTCGATGAGAAATGTGATTTAGTGGTGTCTGCATCTCTGGTGCAAGCAATGGCCTCAGACTCACTTATGTGGAGGGAGAGACTGTTTCCAACTGCACTGCTGCTTCCTGCCAGGGGTCACCTGTAACCTCTTCCCAGAGAGGCTCGTGTTTCCGTCATCACAGAGCAGGGCTTCCCGTGCGCCTCTCTCGTGTTGGGCTTGGCTCCTGGTGGCAGCAGGGTGCCTCTCAGGGGTATTTACTGGCCAAGACCCCAGGCCCAGCTGCAAGGGGTGCTTGCCTGGGTGAGGCACGCGTGACAGTGGTCGCGATTAGTGAAGGAGAAGAGCTCATCGGCTCTCTCCAGTGGCCCAGCCTCTCCTTTTCTACAGGAAGCTTGGTGGGAGGGCCTGTGAATGACTGGCTGGGGCTGTGTTCATGTTCACCCTCGGGAGTGGGAGCTACACACCTGCAGCTGCAGCCGTACGTACCCTGCCTGTTTCGTACATACCCTGCCTGTTTCGTGAGAGTTCAGCTGATTTCCTTAGGAAACTGCTGTGCTTTCTTTCCAAAAGCGCCGACTCTGCTGAGGTTCCTGCAGGTGGTGCCGGCCTGAGAAATGTACTCCTTCGTGTAGGACCGTTCGTTTACCTGATGTCCACAGCGCAATAGCAGGAATAAAAATAGAACTGAAATTAGCCTTATCAATAGCCAGTTAAAATCCTACTGCTTGCCCTTGCTAATCTTTTCTCTCAGCTACAGCAAAGGAATGAAATGGATAAAACAAGAAAAACTTTCAGAAGTTCATTGCTGACTACTGTTGACATTCAATGGCCATGACTTTCCAAGTCTACAGGCAATGAATGGACAAGCAATCGTGTAAGTCACAGAGCAGTGTTCTCCATCACAGCGGGTTTTGTTAACTAAGTCTACTTGCTATGCGGAATGCTTTCTAGAATGTTCTGTCTCATGCAGTTTCCCAGAGCCAGCATGTGAGCCACTCATGGAGATGGTATAGTTGTAATCCAGCCTGATCTGAAGCTATCCACCAGTGCCCTGGCTCTGGGGCCTCCACCATGTGTGCCCTGGTGCAAGGTCAGCCACCATGTGTGGCCTGCCTCAGGCCACCCAACATGAGATACAGAATGATTTCAGATGGCTGCTATTTGTGTTGGGTTTGGAGTGCCCGGGAGAGGTCAAGCTATGAACCAAGGTGGGCTGCTGCTAGTTTTGAGTCTGAGGGCACTTAGCAAGAGGTACAGTGTACATAGAGGCCATATGCTGCTTGTTTGAGAAATTTAAGCAACGTCCAAAGCATAATGCAAAAGAAGCCATTTGTATGGAAAAGCCACCGGAAACAGTTTGGGTTGGGCCCACAAATTGGGTAGGGAATCATCAGGGTAGGGTGAACATTGTGAGTCAGATTGATGGAGATTCAGATATGGCATCCACCTGCTGGCCCTATGGGGGGATTCTCAGAAAAGAAACAATGGCCTCTGCCAGCATTTTTGTCTGGCAGAAACCTGCCCCCCATCTCTTAACCTGACGCCAGACAATTCAATTCCTATCTGTATGCCCCTGGCTCCTTTCAAGCTACTGCCCAGTGCTGGGGCTCAGAGGAAAAAAGTCTGAGTATACCTTTGTGTGGGCTCTTTAAAGGGAACTGCCTGTGACTCTAGCAGCCCTCCATTGCAGCCACAATGCCCACCTGTTTTTACAGACAGAAGTTATGGGGACTTCTCTTCTTGTCTCTGGAACCCTGGGCTTGGGGGCCTGGCATGGGCTGGGACCCCTCACTTCTCAGGAGAGACCTTGCAGCTGATCCCTCCTGATTTTTATCCGCAACTTGTGGGTGTGGAACCAGCCTGTTCCATATATCTGTCCCTCCTACTAGTCTCAATGTGGCTTCTTTAAATTTCTAGTTGTAGGGCTTCCATTCAGCTAGATTTCAGGTGGTTTTGAATGACGCTTGTTCTGTAGTTTTGGTGTATTTTGTTGTGGTTGTGGGAGGATTTGAATACCACATTTATTTACACTGCCATCTTGACCAGAAGTTTCAATCCTTTATTTTGTTAACATGATGTATGTATATCATATTGATTGATTTACAGATGTTGAACCATATTGCATCCCTGTGATGAAATCCACTTGATCATGGTGTAAAATGCTTTAAATGTATTGTTGAGTCAGTTTGCTAACATTATTTTCAATAATTTTTATATAAGTTCATCAAGGATATTGATTTGTAATTTTTTTTGTAAAGTTTTTGTATGTATCAAGGTAGTGCTGGTTTCATAAAATGAGTTTGGAAGCACTCCTTCATCTTTAATTATTTGAAATAACTTGAGAAAAATAGGCATTCTTTCTTCTTTGAATTTTTGGTAGAATTGAGGTGTGAAGCTGTCTGGCCCTTTTATTTGTTGGGAGTCTTTTTAAAAAATTATTACTGCTTCAATTTCATTGCTGGTAATTGGTCTGTTTAGATTTTGTATTTCTCCATGGTTCATTCTTAGAAGGTTATATACTTCTAGAACATATCCATTTCTTCTAGGTTATCAAATTGGTTGCCATATAATTGTTTGTAGTATTTTTTAATATTCTTTGTATTTCTATGGTGTCATTTGTAACTTCTCTTTTATTTATAAGTTTATTTATTTGGACTCTGTTTTTCTTGGTGAGTTTGGCTAAAGATTTGTTGATTCTGTTTATCGTTCCAAAGGATCTTAATTATATTGATCTTTTATATTGTTTTTTAAATTTCTATATTTTGATTTCCACTTTGATCCTATTTTCCTCCCTTACATTGACTTTGGGTTCGTTTGTTCTTCTTTTTCTAATTCCTTAAGGTGAAAAGTAGATTGTTTACTGGGGATTTTTCCTGTTTCTTGAGATAGGCCTGTATAACTATGAACTTCCTTTGTACACCTGCTTTTGCTGCCTACCATAAATTTTGAAAAGTAGTGCTTTCGTTTGTTTCAAGATAGATTTTTATTTTCTATTTGATTTTCTCTTTGATCCATGGGTTATTTAGTAGCATGTTGTTTTGTCTACACATATTTGTAGATTTTTTCCAGTTTTCTTCCAATAGTTGATTTCTAGTCTCACGCATTATGGTCAGAAAACATGCTGGATGTGATTCAGTCTTCTTATTAAGGCTAGTAATCCATGCTGAGTGTAGAATGTTTCATATCTAGTTGAAAAAAGTATATTCTGCAGTTTTTAAGATGAAATGTGCTATAGATGTGCTAAGTTGATCTGATCTAATGTGATATTTAAAGTCATTATTTTTTATTAATTTTATGTCTGGATGATTTATTCATTGATGTGAGTTGGGTATTAAGATCCCTTGCCATTATTGTATTACTGTGGATTTCTTTATGTCCATTAATAACTGTTTCATTTATGAGGTGTTCCTATGTTGGGTGCATAGATATTTTTGATAGTTACATCCTCTTCTTGAACTGACCATTTTATAATTATGTAGTCTTTCTTTGCCTTTTCACACATTTCTTTGTTTAAAAGTCTATTTTGTGTGATATGAGTATTGCTACCAGAGCTTTCTTTTCATTTCTGTTGCATAAAATATTTTTTCCCATTCCTTCACTTTTGATTTGAAGTGAGTCCTGTATGCAGCATATTAATGAGTTATTTTAATGCATTCAACTATATTATATCTTTTTATTGGATAATTTAATCCATTTACTTTTAAAAAATTATTGATATATACTTTTTGGCATTTTTTTAATTTGGGAGAGTTGTTTTTATAGTTCTCATTTTCTTTCTTCTTTTCTTGATCTCTTCCCTTGCTTGTTGTCTGCTGGTTTTCTTTAGTATTTTATTTTCTTTTATTCTCTTTATTCTTTTTTTTTTTTTTTTAAAGTGTATTTTATTGATTCAGAGAGAAACAGAGAGGGGAGAGGGAGAGAGAGATGTAATATCAATGATGATAGAGAATTGTTGATCAGCTGCCTCCTGGATACCCCACAATGGGAATTGAGCCCACAATCCAGGCATATGGCCTGACCAGGAATCAAACCATGGTCTCCTGGTTCACAGGTTCATGTGCAACCACTGAGCCACACCAGCTGGGCTATCTTTATTTTTTTATTTTATTTTTTATTTTTTTTAAATAAAGTCAGCCGTAACTCAAGCTGCTGGGCTATCTTTATTCTTTGTGCAGCTTTTGTAGGTTTTTGCTGTGTGCTAACCATGAGATTTATGTATATAATTCTGTATCTATTTTATGTTGTTAGGTTTTTAAATTTGAATATATCCTATAAGAACTACTTTTTTACTCCACCCTCCATTCTTTATATTATTGATGTAATATTTAAGATCTTTTTGTGTTTTATATCTCCTACTTATTATAGTTTCAGTTGAGTTTGATACATTTTTAACCTTCATAATAGCTTTTTAAATGTGTGATTTACTATATTTGTTCAATATTTGGCTTTACTTGGGAGATTATTTTTCCTTCCTCATAATTTCTTGTTTCTGGTTGTGGCCAAGCATTTTTATGTGATTCTCTGTAGGTTATGTAATTACATGCATTTTGAAAATGAGGAATCTGAGGCACAAAGAAGTTAAATAATTTGTTCAGAGTTTACACAGCTAGTAAGCAGCAAGCTAATCCAAGCAGTTTCTCTCTTTCCTAGATTCTTTTTTTTTTTAATATGTTTTTATTGATTTCATAGAGAGGGTGGGAGTGGGAGATAGAGAAACATCAATGATAACAGAGAATCACTGATCAATTACCTCCAGCACTACTGGGGATTGAGCCTGCAACCCGGCATTTGCCCTGACTGGGAATTGAACTGTGAACTTCTGGTTCATAGGTTGTTGCTCAACTACTGAGCCACAATGGCCAGGCTTCCCTCACTTCTCATGCTGTCACTACCCCTCCCACCCCTTATAGCAAGCATGTCAAACTCACTGCTGGTAGGCCACATGCCTCATCCTCTGCCCACGAGTTTGACATGATTGGCTTTCAGAGAAAGTACCTACATCCCAAAGCATGAGCTATCTATATTAGATATGACAGGTAGATCTGGTGAAAGGCAGGGGAGCTTTGCTTAGAGGTTCTCCAAAATTAACTTTAAGGCAAGCATGATAGATGTAAAATTTCCTTCGCTGGATTTTGAGGGAAACCAAAAACAGTACAGAATCTCTTGAAACCATCACATTTTCTAGAAGTAAACAAATGTTTCCCTGCATACTTCCTGATTCCTGATTAAGCTAGTTCCAGTTTTGACAACCACTGATGAGCCTGTTCTCCTTATTGGACCACTGAGCCAAGAAATCTTGGTTTTTAACAATAGGAGACACTGCAGAGACCATACATTTTTCTCTTTACACTATGAAATGAGTTGGAAATCGGTTTAAAGACAGGTGTGAGCAGAAAGCTGGGGTTTCCAGTGGGGAAAAGGCATTAATTCTGTCTTGGATGATCAAGAAAGGTTACTGGGCACTTTGACCCAACTGGGCAAAGAAGAGCATTACAAACAGGAAAAACACGAGTGAAGGCCTAGGATCAAACTGCACAGCATGTTACTGGGATCCAGAAATGGTGCATTTCAGCTGCAGCATCAGATTGTATGTAAGAATGGGAAACTGAGCTTTTATACTGATGGCTTTGAACCCCATGCTAAAGAGTTTAATTTTGACTGAGTAACCAGCAATGATCTTTCAAAAGTTATAGAGGAAGTGAAGGGAAGGTGGTTATGTTTAAGGAAATGTAACTGGCAGAATCCAAAGAGTAGAAATGATTGAAAGAAAGGGAGAGGTTGTCAGTTTAAAGACTAATTAAGAAGCCATTAAATAATTTGAGCAAGAGATAGTGATATTCTGAACACTTCAAAAGTACGGAGCATGGAAAGAGC